GGCTCTGGTATCCATTTTTGGATTTTTTCACTTGAACCTGCAAAAATCGCAATTTTGCTGATAGGGGTGAGTATCAAAATCAAATTGGATAATTTAGGAGGAAAATTAGGTATTTTCAATAATTCACTTTCCCGGTATGTCAACTTAATTTGTTTTCCAATTCAATAATTCACCGAAGTTAAAAAAAAGGAAGAAAATAAAAAATGAGTGATACCCTCATAATCGAAGGAGATACTTTTCTATTCAATGGCTTGTGAATCTTTAGGTACTATTGTATTCAATGTTTATTCAATTACTCTTTTTCCGCAAATGCAATATAGGGGTTAGGTACACAAATGTGTTATGATTTCGTAAATAATTTGTCTTTGAAGATAACAAAACTACTAAAATTAATTATAATATCAACCATAATGTTAGGACTTAATTACCCCAACCCGATAAAAGAAACAAATGTGCTATTGAAGAATAGCACAATTAATGCATATATACAATTGTGTCATTCTTCAAGCAAATTAAACGGCATTGCTTCATCAAACAGATGGAAAGTGATTGAAGGTAATCAACCGGGCGTGTCTGATAGAGAATTTTAATTTATCGGTATAGACAACTAAAGAACAATCTAAATCATACACACTTATGAACTGACTATCCTCACATCTTTTTTATTTCAGCTTTTGCACAAGTATAATTAATTCTCTATCACACTTCTTCATTCTAGGAAAGTGTAAGGAATGTATCATGAAACATGTATCTAGTAAGCCAAATATTATTCATTCTAAGCATAAAGTGTTTCTCTAAATAGTAGCACATTCTCCTAGAGAATGCTTCTAATTTTTGCCTTTTTTTTTGGGAAGAAGGGGGGGAGAATATATTTCTATCCAACAATAACATCAAGATCAATAGAAAACAATAGTCCCTTATTCAAAGTAGAATGCAAGAGATAACAAATCAAATTTAGTACTCCATCTATTACCTCTGGCACTTCATCTTCTCTTTTGTAGAATGAAAAGCATTACAACCCACACCATATTTTTCTTTATTTATTGCTTTATCCTTATACTTGCCTTATCATAATCCCTTCTCCACAAATTCTTCACTGTAAATGGCTCCTCCTTCGCCCGTTCGAATTCTTTTGCTCGGCTCTTTCTTAGGAACTTGCAGAAAAACCTTACCTCCATTCTTAAAATTTCAAGTGCTTGCAATTATATTATTAATGAGATAAATGTTTCAGTTGCTCTTTCGAGAATTGGACCAAACAAGAACTTCATGAATCCATCGTCCAGTTCAAAATTCATAGAAAGAATAAACTTCACCCACTTTTTTTCAATTTAACCAACTTATCCATTTTTTGCTTCTTGTGAAGTCCAGAGCTCTCAGCTTTGTTAGAGTTTTTTATTCTCTTCATCTCAATTTTGTGGATTAGACAGTGAAGGTTGGATGATAATGTGGGCATGCATGATGGTGTAGGTTCAATTAGTCCACTCAATCGATGGTGCAAAACATAGCTACTGATGATGCCACATTCAAAACCAACCTCAATGGCTTAAATGAATTCTCCATGTCAATTCATGAAGCGAACTTAGGAGTATGTTGATACATAAGGTTGCTTCGGTTGATTGGAGGATAGGAGAGGACAACAGAGAATATGCTGATGTTGAATGAGAAGATGAATAAATATAAATAAAATAAAATAAAAGATGATGGATGGATGCTTACCAAAAAATGATGAAAAGGAACAATGGCTGTGTGAATCTAATGGGTCTTGGGATATGGAGCAGAGATAAAGTTCTAAGGATAATTTTGGAATCCAAATATAAAAAGACCTACAATTGAGTGCCTAAGACTATTGTTGGAATGATAATAATATCATTTGTCTTAAAGTTTCTCTTGTATGGTGGAAAATGCAAAACAAATGCAAGAGATAATTTCCACAAACCATCCATAATCTAGAAGACATGATCGAAAATTTCATTGCATCTAAGTTGCGCGGTTTGCTACATTACCCATTATCTTCAGTTCTAAGGCAAAATGAAAATTTAGAGAAAAAAGAAACCATACCATAAAAATAGAGAAGAGCATGTCTATGGGTCATGTATCCATTTAATTTTGTCTGCGATCTGACAACTAGATAAATTAAGTATTCCATGATCACATCCATTAAACTCAAAATAAATCGACTTCTTGATAATACAAGCCTAAGGTTCCAAATTGAGCTTTTTTATTAGGGATGGCAACTAGTCGAATAGAGTTCAAATACTACTGTATTCGAGCTCGAGTTTGAACTGTATTATCCAAGTTCGAACTCAAGTTCAACCTCAACAAATCTTCAATTTTGATACTTAATCTCAACCTAGTCAAATTTTTTATTTCAAAACTCGAACTCAACTTGTGTAAAATATAGGGAGCTGAAGTTCAAATTCGAACTCGCTTAAGAAGCAAATTGAGATGGAACTCGCACTTGAACTTCAGGCGAGTAGCTCGCAAGCAGTTCGCTTATTTGCCACCCCTATTTTTGATCCCTCTAGAATTTTTAGTGCACCAATTGACTACCAAAATTCTTGTCACGAGATACCCATCTCTATCTCTGCAAAAGACATAATCTAGCTGGCACAAAATGTAAATTATACATACCTTATTTTATATTTTTCATTATTGAATTAGATGAATACATATAGGCCCCATAAAACGAATAAGCCTAATATCACAACTATCAACAAAAACAAAAAACTTGTGACCCGTTTCTAATAGCCCACCTCATTGTCGAATGAACTCTTTTATTGTATTGGTCATAGTTATTAAACCCGGCCCGGCCTGGCGGTTCGACCGGTCAACCCGGCGAACCGGCCCGGTTCTTCAATTGGATTGTTTCTGCATATGAATCGTTGACTTTTTAACGGACCGACGGTTCAACCGGATTAAACCGGAAACCCGGCCGGTTTTGTGGGCAGACCGGGTTTGAGGAAAAAATGTTTGTCCAAGCCTTTGCTTGGATGCGAACTTCAGACCTTCGGTATTGTTTATGCGTAGCTCACCACCAGGACACTTTGTCACTTGTTCATTAATGGCCATTCTTATGTTATATGAATGTTTTGTTAATTTCACCTTTATTTTTTTAAACTCTCCAAAACAAATGTATTTGGAATCTTTTAATAAAACTTATGACCCTTATATTCTATAAATTATAAAATAGATTTCAAAAATAACATATTACATAATTTATTTTAAAGACAAATATTGTTTTTTAAATATTTTTTGCATTTAAAATTTGTAAATAACCTAGATAATTACAATAAACATCTACACTTGAAGTTTGGTGGATTCCTAATTAAATTTATGTTTTGCTGATTCTTATATGAATTAAATATTCTATAGCACATTAAATTAAATGAATATTTGTTATGACATTATTTATTACAATTTATCTCATATATCCTATATCAAAATTTATAAAATATACTATTTAAATATATGTAGTGACCCACTGGTTCAACCACTCACCCACCGGTTGAACCAGTGACCCGTTGACCCACCTCATTCGCCGGTCTCCTCTCCAGGCCGAGTTTAATAACTATGGTATTGGTAGCTCCTTGTGACCCTAGACCAATGTCATTTAAGACTCCCTTGTAAAAGGACAACAAGATATCAATAATCAAACTAAAACAAATAATACTGTAAGCGAATTTGTATATATATCCCTTGAATTAAAAAATGGAAAAATTTGAAAACACTTGTTGAATGTGAAAAATGTCTCTTATTTTGGTACATAAATAAAGTGGAAACACGACATTAACAATTTTGAGAAAGTAACATTTATTTGATTTCAGTGGGAGAAAAGCAAATGAGCAATCATTTATGTAAATGAAAGTTTTTGTTAGTTTACGTGAGGAAGAATGAAGGTAGAAAGTGGAAAGGTAAAATCATGAGCTTTGTGTATGCGTATCGATGAAGTATAGGCTTTAATGCATGTAGTGTATTTATGAAGCATGGGTTTTAAGTTTAACCGCATGTTGTCTGCATATTGAGTTTGAACTTTAATGTTCAGGATTAATTTTAATGTTTTATTCTTGAAATTCAAATTTAGAAGGGAAACTTCGAATTTTTGGTATAAATTTAGAGTGAACTCAAGTAGTGCTTATTTTATTTTTCGCAGATCTGGTAAATAATAGAAATTATCAGAGAATAAAAATTTCTACGGCTATATTTGCTATAATTGGAGTTGTTAACAAAACTCGCACGCTCTCATTTTGAAAACCTAGCTCAAGTTAGGATGACTTGTTAGAATGAACACATGTAAATGCATTTAAATTACCTTGAAATTTCCATTTAAAGGTACAAACTCAAATTCATTTATTCCTTTCTATATTTATACACTTTTTCTATTTGAATTTAATTTTTAAAGAATTCACTTAAAACCACATTTAACGAGTGCTCAAGAGATGCTTCCTCTTAGATAAAGGTTTACATAATTTACAGTGTTTCTTTTTAATCATTGTCCAGTTTTAATGGAAATTTGTGTTACTTTATTTTCTTCTGCAATGATTCCGATCTATTTTTTTTTTTTTTATCCCCAATCCAGTTTTTTTTTGGGTCAGGTATCCCGGTCATTACCAGACTAATCCCCTGGACTGTTGTACAGAGCCCCGCCCAAATTGCACTTTTTTTCAAGTCAAGTTTCACTTCTTTTTTTTCTGTCGACGGAGTGGGTGTCCGGGTCAAGTTCGTAAAGGCGGCTCGACTAATCCCACTTCGGCCCGACCCAGCGCCCCCACCAGATCTAGCACCTTAGATGCATGGAGAAGCCGATGGTGCTGCGGAGGTTCGACCTCAGGACCTGACGATCCCGAGGAAGAGGCGCCAACCACCAGCCCATTCACGTGGGGCTTCAAGTCAAGTTTCACAAAGGCCCAAATTATTAAAAAAAAAAAAAAAAAAAAAGGTTAAGGACGTTAGCTGCATTGTCCTCCTCCTTAACCCTTTTCATCCATCCAGCTAGCAAAAGGGACGGTTACAAAAGACGCGTTATCACTCCGCCATCCAACAGCATCATCATCCTGAAAAAGTCCCGAAAACCAGAACCATCCTTTTCTCCCTTGGAATACAGGAGCTAGGGACCTCCTACGCCATTTCTCCAACCCGCGACTCACCAACTAGCAAAAATCTCAATGCCATCTGGCAATCATCATCCCCAATGCTCTCACAAAAAACCATGAATATCCATCGTCTTCAAGAATTTCAACCGCCCTAAACACCATGATCATTAGCTTCAAACTTACCATATCCAAACCCAAGCTCCTCCAAATTCGACGAGGGAACATTAAAGGGAGAAAAAAAGGACAGAAGAAAAAACCGCAGGGTCGAGTTGCAGGGAAGCAATGTTGCCGGAATCCACCACCACCGTCACCTTTTGAAAGCTCCTTGAAGCACTCTGTAAAGGCACTTAACCCTTGCTTCTCTATTTATCTACTATTATGATGAAAAAATTGTGTGTTAATTGGTTTTCGTGTAGTATAATCTCTTTCCTTCTGGGTTGGTTTTGGTTGGAATTGGAAGCCTGATCACGTTTAAATTTGATGGAAAAAATGATTGATCTTTATGTTCTTGAGTTTGTGAGAAATCATGTTCCAAATTGAGCTCGAATCCAACCTATTTACATCCAAATCCAATTTATTTACATCAAACTCCGACTTTTAAATACCTTAAATGATGTACATCGAACTACTGCTGATTTATGTCAAGAGCAAACTTGCACCAAATTGTGCGGGCACAACTTATGAGGCCTGGATCCACATGATAATGCGGAAAACATGTGTTTTTACCGAGTATTTATGAGGAGAGAGAGAGAGACAGAGAGTTTGTGTGTGTGTGTGTGAAACTGCACAGGCGTGTTAATTTTGGATAACCATTACTGCATGAGTTCAAGAGTCTGAATCAGATGACCAAATTACTTTTTTTTTTTTTTTTTTATAAAGGAAACCATTAAGAAATGATTAGGCATAGATCTCGACCTGTTATTAAAAATTTTCAAAATGTACATGGTAGGGAAGTTATACCTCTCAATTTAGATTAGGACTAAATTACCTTTACATTCTACATAAATGAACTTTGGATTAATATTGTTTTGTAAAATTAATATTGACAAAAAGATGACCAAATTATATTATATGCTATATATAAATGAATTTTTTGTGCTAATTTATTAAATTTTTGTTTACTTAATTATTTTTTTAATGAAGTTTAATATTGGATGAGAAAAAGAATAGGGACATTTGAAAGTGGGAAGAGAATAAGAGGGAGATAGAAAGGCGTTCCAATTTTATTAGATGTTCTCGAGATGATAGAGAGATGTAATACATTAAAAGAAAAAAGGTCATCTAATCTTTAGGTAGTTCAGTAATAATGTTGAAATTTGAAGGTAATTTTTTTCTCATCAAAAAATAGGCTAGCTATAATCAAAATCCAAAAGCACCTCAAGACATATTTTTTATTTTCAACTTTTTTAGATCTAAAAAATCTAAAATTAGGTTTTGAAAACATAGCCACATAACTTTTCAAAAATCAAAACCTAAAATCAATTGTACAGAATCAGTTGAAAACAAGGCCAATAAATTAAGAGATGAAACTTTTATTTATAGTTTGAGTAAATTTTATACTAACAATGCATATACTATTATGGTTAGATATATGATACATATGTAAAATTTAGATTTCAAATTGAAATATAGATTAATTGTCATGCATCTAACCCTAAAAGTGCATAAATTAATTCTTATAGTTTTACATGCACATTATTAGTGGCTTTAGGAGGATTTCTTTTTTTTTTCTTTTTTCTTTTTTTTTTATTTCAAATTTGTAGTCTTTTATTGATGAGAATAAAAGTTACACTCAAAGAAACATCATTTTGAAGTACAGGATTGGATTATAAAGACAACAAATGAACCAGAAATGTTTGGTGCTTAGTTGAAAGGCAAAATATCTCAAATTCTCCTTTATCCTCAGCCCTTCATACGCTTAATTTTCCGAATTGAAGGCATCCCTAATCTGTCAAGGCGAATTGCTCCACGGGCCATAATTGGAAACAAGTGGAAGGAGTCGTATAACTTGAGTTGATGCTCTGGATGAGAGACGCCCACATTGGACAATGCATCAGCGACTGTGTTAGCTTCTCTATAACAATGTGAAAAGCGATCAGGATCTTCCACGAATTGCCAAATCTGCCTAATCTCTCGTCGAATCTTCCAAGGGCAGTGAATACGTTTCTGAAGAATTCCAATTAATACCAAAGAATCCGATTGAATATAGAGATTCTCAAAACCCCTATGTATGCATGTTTGAATGCCAATAAGAAGAGCCCGGGCCTCTGCACTTAGACATGTAGTTTCTCCAAGATATGCCGAAAAACCAATCAAAGGAATACCATGTGAATCCCGAAGAACCCCACCTCCTCCACCCAGTCCTGGATTACCCTTAGAACAGCCATCGGTATTTAGAGTAAACCGACCAGTTTCCTTTGGTTCCCAACGAACAAGTTTGTACGTGACATAAGTGTGAGATGAATACGGCCAATCATACAAATGGTAGAATGAATGAGCCTTGAAAACTTGTTTGAAATGAATTTCCACAATGGTCTGGATTTCCAAGGAAATGGCAAGACAAATGGCGGGAGATCTCATATGGACATCCTCAAATAATGCTTTATTTCTTGCTTTCCAAATTTGCCAACATACTATACTGGGAAGAATGCGTCCAATGAGTCGCTGTATCTCTGAATCATATGAGTGCAACCACCAACCCACTATACAGGAGCGTAAAGAAGAGCCTGGAAAAGTCAATCCACATGAAGCTCCAAAATAATTCCAAACTGTTGAAGCTATATGGCCTTTGGAAAATAAATGTTCAATTGACTCCTCAGATGCGGAATCGCAGCAGAAACACTTTGATGGTAAATGTAAACCAAGTTTACGTAACCTATCCGGTAAAGGCAGCCTGTGCAGCAACAATCTTAACATGAAGAATGAAATTTTGAGTGGAATCTGAGGATACCAAATGCTATCAAAAACCATAGACTTGTTTCGTGCTTGCCTAATATCCCGAAATGCCGAAGCTAGAGAGAAGATTCCAGATGTTGTGGACATCCAAAAGACTTCAGCTTCACCCCAGTCTTCCGGGACTGGATGCTCTAAAATGGAGGGAACCAGATCCGTCGGCAATGTCTGATATAATCTACTCACTTCCCAGTGTCCATTGATGATAAAATCACCAAACGACAAATTAGAGACAACTGTCGTACGGAGAAACAAGGCACCCCCTCCCAACCAATTGTCGTACCAAAAATGACAAGCTCCATTCTTGATATCCCATAGCATAGATAGCTCCACTTGTCGACTTACATTGACCATCCTTCTCCAGATTGCGGAGTCCAATGACCTGATTTCAACCTGACAAGGATGTAGTAGTCTACAGTACTTAGCTTTCATGAATGAAACCCACAACGAGCATCCCTTTATGAAGTTCCACCAAAGCTTGAATGAGAATGCTGTGTAGATGTCCTGTAACCTCCGGAAACCAACTCCTCCCTCATCTACCGGATAGCACATCTGAGACCACCGTATCCAGTGAAATTTTGACTCCTCAGAGGATGACCCCCATAGGAAGGTCGAGAAGGCTTTTTCTATAGTTCTAAAAACCTTACCCGGGATAACCGCTGCTGACAACAGGTGTACTGGCATCGTTGCCAACACATGTTTGATTAGAACTATTTTGCCTCCAAGAGAAAGCATCCTTGATTTCCATGACCTTATTCTCCCTAGGATAGATTGGCAAACTTCCCCAAAATATGATGATTTACATCTGCCAAAATAGAGGGGAAATCCCAAATAACGTATCGGAAATGGTTGATAAATAAATTTGGTGATACGTTCAATCACCCTTCTTCTTGCCGGTGGTATCGAGGGATGTACTAAGTAACAACTTTTTAGCACATTTATCAATTGTCCAGAACACCTTTGATACGCATCTAGCACCTGCATGATAAGCTTTAGAGAATAAGAAGATCCATTTGTAAAAATTAGAATATCATCCGCAAAAGCCAAATGAGTTATAGTAGGACATGCAAAGGGGACTTTGAAACCCACAAACCCCGATTGCATGGCAAGATTATTTAATCCTCTAGATAACACCTCAGCTCCTATAATGAATAAAGCAGGCGATAATGGATCACCCTGACGTAGGCCTCGTGTAGATTTAAAGAAACCATGCGATGCCCCATTTATAATGATAGAAAACCAGACATTGGAGATCAAGCGCCAAACCAAATCAATGAATCTTTCTCCAAAGCCAAATTTCCTGAGAACACCAATGATATGATCCCATGTCACTCGGTCATATGCCTTAGACATATCCAACTTCATGACCACATTACCACCCCTAGTCTTTTTCCCAATACCCGACACAACCTCCTGTGCTAGCAAAAAGTTGTCTGTTATATTACGGCCCTTCACAAAGCCTGTCTGCTGGGGCGAAATAATTTTGGGCAATAGAGAAGCCAGTCTATCAGCTAAGATCCTGGATAACAACTTATTGAAGAAGTTACATAGACTGATTGGCCTATAATGAGAAAAGTCCTGAGGATTTGGCTTTTTTGGAATTAATACAATTGAGGTAGAGGTGATAAATTGAGGCAAATGTGCTTTAGGAGGATTTGGCTTTAAGAGGATTTCATTACAAATGTGCTTAATAGAAAAAGAATTACTAGTGTTTAGATAGGAGATTATTTGAATTATTATTAATAATAATTATTGAAACAGATTTTGTAATATGATGTATGTGAGATAAAAAGGCAATGAAAAGATAAAAAAAATTGATTAAAAATTGTGCTTGTAAAATAAGAAAAACATATTTAGAATAATTTTACTATTCAAACACACTGCCTTAAAATATAAAGAATAAAGAGTTTCTTCTACCGTATTTGAACCCCTATTTTTTGTTCTCTATCATTTCAAATCTCCGAACAACTTCTTCTTGGCCATCTCTTTTTTTTTTTTTAAATGTTTCATCAACTGACACTGCTACCATTGACTTGGAGCTTTCTCCAATCTTCTCTCTCAATTCTCTATGCTGCCAGCACCACCTGGCCCTTGGCCCAAATTTCATAGCACCATAAATCAAAAAGCCTTCCCAAATCACATCTATTACTTTTCCTTGTGACCCTTCTTGACAGCTACACAAGCTACCTCAAGAACTTGACAAAAATCAACTAGGGCTTAGGAGTGCATTCTAATAGAGTTGAGCTTGTCAAGCTTTTAGAAGTCGAGCTCAACTTCAATTTATCTTACTTGAGCTTGAGCTTAATGCAGTCTAACCAAGCTCAATTAAGCCTATTCGAGTCTAGTTGAACTTATCTAATAAAAATTAATATTTTACATATAATTTTAAATAAAAAATATAATCGACATTTCATAATAATAAATATAAAAAATAATGTGTATGTGTGTATAAACATATGTATGTACGTACGTATTAAAAGCTTGATTAGGCTCGTTGTTCCTACGAGCTTAAGAATATAATACTCGAGATTGACTCGTAAGTATTTTCGAATAGCTCAAATTCGAGTCGAACTCGATCAATGTTAAGCTCAAGTTGAGTAGTTGACCGAGCTGCTTGTGAGCTTGAGTCATGTAGTTTGGTGAACTTGTACTCTTGTAGCCCTACTAGAGCTTAAGTGTTACGATGTTGTTCCAGAATAATTCTTCTCTTTGTCGTTAACTCTGTACCTTCAACCAAACAAACTCCCTCCCTACCGTCTCTTCCTATATTGACCAAGGATCTAAAAGTTGGTTTAATTTATGATGCAGATAACATCAGATTGTTAAGGTTGTGATGTACGTATGGATGAGATTTTTTATTGTTTTTAGAAGTTTAATTTGGGTGCTTGTATTTTGATTTTTATCATTAATTTTTTATAAGCAATTGTTTGTTAAAGCTAGTAAGGTAGTAATAACAGTCAATGACGAACCCATGATTTTAATTTGGGGGGCAAATGATCAATGATATAATAGCAAAAAAAAAAATCGACAGCAAATAAAGCATACTAAATATGAAATGAAAGTTCAATATATATTAATTAAGAATAAGAAACTTTTTAAAAAAAATAAAGGCAAAGTATAAAGAAAAACGTGAAAATTAAGCTATGTGCTATTCTATTTACTATCAATATGAAGCATTCATTACTATGGTTGAAACTTCTTCAATTGGTATGATAGTTGATTTTTTTTATTGTTTGTTTTTTATTTCCTATGTAACATGTACAGTGTGACCTTAGTTGCTATTTTAAAGTTAGAGTAATAAAAGAAACTAAACAGTTGGTTTGTTATAAGAAATTTGGTTAAAAGAAACTTACTCCCTCCGTCCCACTTTGTTAGTCTTGTTTTCCTTTTTCGTCCGTTCCAGATTGTAGTCCATTTTTTCATTAAGAAATGTAGTAATCTTTCAAATTGTCTAAAATACCCTTATTAAATATCTTGTTATTAATACATTGCTATTAAATACTAACCCACTATATTGAATACATTGAGTTTTTCCAATACTAACCCATTAGCTATAACTGATATTAATTGGCACTCTTCGTGATTAGCATAAGGGTATTTTAGGCAATTATTAATCTAAATTTATGTTTCCAACCAAATTAATTACACTTTCTTAATCTGTGTGAAAAAAAATCAAAACTAACAAAACGGGACGGAGGGAGTAATATTTTTGTAATTGTTCAAAAGAAACTAAACAGTTGAACCTCCCTTATTATTGCTTTCACTCAACTAGCATTTATGATAGTTTTGACTTTAAAATTTACCTTTTACGTTTCTTGTTGATGTTCTTTACCATTAAACAAAAGATAGTTCTTAAAACAAAAAGTTTTAATTCTCTCCTAAAAGGAAGAAAAAAATTAGGAAAGAGAGATTTATTTATGGGAATAGAAGACCTATATTACTTTCACCAACCAAAGTAAGAGACTAAGAGGTATGTAATATGTACCTATTCCTATAATAAAATAAATTAAAATAAAAAAACCATACACTCATCAAAGCTTTGAATTCGGTGATCTTCCGACTTCTATATTCATGAATATGAAGCAATAAAATCAAGACATTAACTCAATGCCAAGTTTATAGATAAAAAGAAATAAAAAAGGTAATTAAATCTACATTTAAAAATACAAGCTCTTAATCATTAGATAAAAGGAAAAATTGATGAAGTTCTACACACAATATTAAGTGTCCTCAATGCTTTTCAAACAAAAACTTTGATGAGAAGAAATTGTAACCCATCTTTTTTTAAAAAAAATTAATTACTTGTGTCATTGTAAGGGCATTTTGGATTACATTGAAGTGAATTTAGGCCAAAACTGGTTGATTTCTCCTCATAATTAAAAGTTGGGGAGGTTTTTTATGTTTTTCTACAAACAAGAGGGGAGGTTCCTATAATTCTAAAAGCAATAGTTGAGGTCCCTAACTTTTTCTAAAACTAGAGGGATGGTTAGTGTAATTTACCTTTTAAAAAAAAACTTGGAACATTAGCAGGTTGGGGTTGTATATACGATTTCTAATTTGTTATAAGAAAATCTATGGAGGGGTGTTTTAGGATATACATTGGTTTCTTTGGTGCAGTAAGTAACTTGTCACCAGAAATATCAAAATTGGTGGTACAAGTGTTATTTTTGAAACTTGAGGAGAGGGCCCTGTAATTGTGATAAACTCTGGGTGAGGTATGTGAAATTATCTCATTTCATTATCCACCAAACTTCATAAAATAAGCACTGAATTTACTGATTTTGAGTAGTTCATAGATTATCAAACACCTTGTAGTCTGTTCTCTGAATAATAAACGAGTCCTTTTTTCTCTTTTCCAATTTGAGGGAGATCCTATACAAAGATAAAAAGGAGTTTGTAGTTTGCTGTTCACAAGTTATCATATGCCTCCTGTATGGGTAATTAAGTAATTCCACATGTTGTCATCAAATTGACTATGCGAGTTGTAGAAGAATGAAATGCAGGGACATGAAAAAGTGACCATTTGTCCCGTTATTTAGTCATCGAGCATCGTGTTATTGCATTATTAACTATCGATATTGTGATACATGACCAAATTTAATCGTTTCCTGCCTGTTACAAGCATAACTGCAATATGATTCTAATTCTTTGGTTTCTTGTGCTTTAGTATGCAACTATTATTGTTCATCATTCTGCTGCTTCGTCTATTCGGCTTCCCATTTTGCTCTGGCTATTTGAGGAGGTATGCTTGTTCTTCTCCTACTTAATTTGTTTTTTTGATGAGTTCATTTGTAAAATTATTTTCTTGTTATTGTTTACAAATGTGCTATTTCCTTTTTATTATGTGAGTTATAATCACTGTGTATTGGTCCAACAATTGTTTCTGTTAAATTGTTTAAATCTCTCTTCTTCTAGAAGCTTGCTTTATTTTGAGCTCAAGATATCTATGTTTGGAAATTGATTTATCAAGGTACAAAATTTTGTGAAAATTGATTAGTAACTCTGTTTTGATTGACGCTAATGAATATGATTATGTATTTCGGACTAAGCGTAGAGCTCTTCTCCGTTGCATTGAAGAGAACTTGTCTCTATTACATCCTAATAAAATTAATTTGGCAATTTTTTCAAACGTCAACACTGTTCGTAACAAAATTCATCACCTGGGTTAATCATATCATACATAAATTTTGTATGAAGCTGACCAAGTTTTGCAGTTTGATTGATCACTACAAATTTTATTAAAAATTTGACCCATTTTTCAATGTTCAAATATTTCGTGTAATGAAATGCCAAAATAATCTCAAACGAATATTATTTTTTAGTATGTTGATCTAGAGATCAAAAGAAAAGCAGAAACATAATTGGATGATTTTCTACTATTATAGTACTTTAAAAGTAAATAAATGGATAGGTCAATGTACAGAAATCTAATAGATAGTGTAAGAACGAGCATTCCTTCTTTTCTTACATGACTCTAGTACTCAGCGATGCAACTTATGAGACCATTTTATGCTAAATGTTTCTGTTCTAGGCGGGCGCACTATCTAGAAGGATTCACTACGGAAAATTTGTAGTTGAAGTAAAATTCAAGATACCCCTTGAAGAATTATTGCTAACATTTCATGCCAAAGTAATTGTACACACTATGGTTGCTTTACCAACAGTTAGAATCTGTGTGAAATTGCAACGGTTGAAAGTAATACTTTATTTTGTGTTATGGTGTGGTTATGTTAATCTTTATCCATACGCTTGTTTTATTTTCTGTTCTTATTTTCTATTCATCTATAGACTAACTTTCTATTCTACTTAGTAATTTTTTTTTAAATTGAGTGCATTATAATTCTTTAGTACACAAGTTTAATTTCCAGTAACTTCCATTACTTCTCATACCTTTCCTTTCTTCCACATTCGTCATAACTAAACATTAGCAATTTGGTAATTGCCGTCACCGCACAGTTACCAACTCTCCCCCAAGTTTTACTCCAAAAAAGACTTTTTTTTCCAATCAAATTAATAACAAAAAGCAATTGCGACTTCACTTCAAATTGATAACAAAAGCCCAAAGTGCCTTGCCCTAAACTTTTGTTTCACAAAACCATTTGTTTTTGTCGAGAATATAATTATATATTGCTCCCTAATAATTAGGGGTTATTAGTAATTCATTCGATGTATCCGTACCAAGTACAGATTGCTTCCTTATAATTAATAGTCAGATGTATGCAAAAAGTTAAAAAATAATTATGCCCTCATAGTAGGAAAATTGTCTAATGATCATAGCTTCTTCTTCTTCTTCTTTTCTCCCCTATTATGTTTAGATTTCAATTTTCTTACACCTCCATTCTTATATGCATTTTGACAACAATCTGCTAAAGAATTTCTTTATCCTAGTAGATTTTTGTTATATATATATATATATATATATATTTAATTATCATAAATTATCAAAACAAATTACAAAGCATACATTCTTATAAAAAAAAATTTTTAAGTAGTTTGTATTGCAATCAACAAAGTTATGCATTATGTTTTTAACAGAATGCTGAAGATGCATCTTCAACATCTTAACAATTAATGTTTACTATTTTGAATACAAGTCATCTGATATATATACTAATACTTGTTGGGGAAATCGGGTAATTTCCCACTCAAAATATAACTAGTTATTAAACCGATTCACTAATTCTCAGGAAAGATCGTCGAAACAATCTCCTTAGGTAGAATTACCATTCCAAGTAAATTCCCAGGAAAGGCTGGAGGGGTCACAAGCGGTCCCACTTAAAACCCAATCTCCTAGACAGAACTTACGTGCACGGTGTATTATCACAACTATACCCGTGTATACATAAATAATACATACACACGAATAAGAAAAATACACCCAAATGAATCGTATAAAACACTACAAATAAACCCGACAAATATAGACAAATATGTTGAATACTATATTACAACAGAAAAAGAAACTACTAAATAAATGCGGAACAAATAAAAGAGATATGGAAAGAACGCACTCGAAAAATTGATAACGGAGTTTGGCCAATTTTGCCTAATCTCCGAGCACCGCTCAAGCGACCTGTTTTTATAATTTAGGAGAGAAGAAAGAATACAAAAAATTACAAAATCCTTATGGGTAATTCTTTGTTGTTCTTGGTACAATTCAATTGGAAGGCTTGAGAGCTCTCAAGCAATCCTACAACTCCTAAAACAACCAATGTGGGATTAAGAATTAAGCCACCAATTTCAACAATTGTTGGCTTGTAAAAGTAAACAATTGAGGCTTTGAATTCAAGGTTTTGAATTCAACAAATATGTTCGGCCAATTTTGCGTAATCTCCGAGCACCGCTCAAGCGACCTGCTTTTATAATTTAGGAGAGAAGAAAGAATACAAAGAATTACAAAATCCTTATGGGTAATTCTTTGTTGTTCTTGGTACAATTCAATTGGAAGGTAACCAATGTGGGATTAAGAATTAAGCCACCAATTTCAACAATTGTTGGCTTGTAAAAGTAAACAATTGAGGCTTTGAATTCAACAAATCTCCACTTTGGCATGATTTCTAATCCCACCTAAAAATAACAAACGGTCCTTGTGGTGCTTCCAAATTTGCACCCTCAGGCACCAACTCAAATATGCAGGATATTGACCAAATCTAAACAATGTTCAAACTTGGACCTTGTAACCACCTTAGTCAGCATATCTGCAGGATTCTCCGTAGTCCGAATCTTCTGAAGAAAAATCTCTTCTTCTTCGAGAATTTCCCGTACAAATTAATAGCGAACATCAATGTGCTTCGTTCTTGCGTGCAAGACCTGGTTCTTTGCTAAGTGAATAGCACTCTGACTGTCACAAAACACATCAATGTGTTTTTGACCAACTCCCAAGTTTTCAAGCAATCCTTGAAGCCAAATTGCCTCCTTCACAGCTTCTGTAATCGCCATGTACTCTGCCTCCGTTGTTGACAAAGCCACCGTTGACTGCAAAGTAGACTTCCAAGGCGCCTTGGCAAATGTGAACAAGTAGTCAGTTGTAGAACGTTGCTTATCCAAATCGCCTGCATAGTCAGAATCACAATATCCAACTACACATTGACCAAGTGATTTATCCTGCTCAAATACTAATCCAACATCTACGGTATTTTGGATATACCGTAGAATCCATTTCACAGCTTGCCAATGACCCTTGCCTGGATCATGCATAAACCTGCTTACCACACTAACTGCCTGTGAAATGTCGGGTCTCGTACACACCATTGCATACATCAACCTACCAACTGCATTAGCATACGGGACTTTCGCCATGTATGCTCGCTCTTCATCCGTCTTTAGAGATAATAGGCTACTAAGTTTCAAATGAGGAGCAAGCGGAGTACTTACAGGTTTTGAATCTTCATTCATGCCAAAACGTTGTAGTACCTTCTTCAAATACTGCTTCTGTGTCAGACAAAGCTTGCCGCTCGTTCTATCCCTGCTTATCTCCATGCCGAGAATTTTCTTGGCTTCTCCCAAATCCTTCATCTCGAACTCTTTACTCAACTGAGCCTTCAATTTATCAATTTCAACTTGGCTCTTTGATGCTATCAGCATATCATCAACGTACAAGAGTAAGTAGATGTAGGAATTATCTCGTAACTTGCGCAAATATACACAGTGATCGTATTTGCTTCTTGTATACTTCTGACTCATTATGAACTGGTCAAATCGTTTGTACCATTGTCTCGGTGATTGTTTCAATCCGTACAATGATTTGCTTAGTTTACAAACCCAATTTTCTTTACCAGCAACTTTAAATCCATCTGGTTGAGACATATAGATTTCCTCCTTCAAGTCACCGTGAAGGAATGCAGTCTTCACATCAAGTTGAGCTAGCTCCAAATTCAATTGCGCTACCAAGGCCAACAAAATTCTAATAGAGGAATGTTTAACAACTAAAGAAAATACCTCATTATAATCAACTCCCTCCTTCTGAGCATAGCCTTTAGCCACCAATCTTGCCTTGTAGCGAACATAAATCTTGTCAGGAAATCCTTCTTTCTTTGCAAATATCCATTTGCATCCAATTACCTTCTTGCCCTTCGGTAATTGTGTCAACTTCCACGTCTTGTTCTTCTAAAGAGATTGCATCTCTTCTTCCATCGCATCTTTCCATCTATCATTTTCTGTACTTCGAACTGCTTCAGAAAATGTGGATGGAACATCATCAATAACTGGAAGTGCATAAGCCACCATATCAACAAAACGAGCAGGTTTATGAATTTCTCGTCTTGCCCTATTGACGGCAATTGACTTTTGCTGCTGTTGAGGTTCTTGGGTTGAAACTTCTTCCTCATCTGACTCCTCTTCTGCCATGGGAGAGTCACTGATGGTGCTGTTTGCTGGACTCACCACTATTTGCTCAAACTCCACCTGTTTCGGCGTACACTCCACCTGTTGAGGAGTACCACTGGTCCCATCTTGTGTTATCTTATTCAACATGACAGATTCATCAAAGGTAACATCCCTGCTAATAATGGTTTTCTTTGCTTCTAGATACCATAACCGGTATCCCTTAACTCCAGCACTAAAGCCCATAAAGAGAGCCTTCTTTGCACGTGGATTTAATTTTGATTCATTTACATGATAATATGCAGTAGAACCAAAAATACGCAAAGAATCATAATCTGTTGCAAGTTTTCCAGACCATACCTCTAATGGAGTCTTGCCACCGATTGCAGATGATGGCAAGCGATTGACGAGATGTTGAGCGTATGTCACAGCCTCAACCCAAAACTTTCTGCCTAACCCAGCATTAGATAGCATGCAACGTACTTTCTCCACTAGTGTCTTGTTCATATGCTCTGACACCCCATTCTGCTGCGGTATTTTTCTAACTATGAAGTGCCGAACTATGCCACATTCTTGACATATCTTCTGGAAGGGATCACTCTTGTATTCTCCACCGTTGTCTGTTCGGAGGATTTTGATCTTTCTTCCTGTCTGGTTTTCAACCCGAGCTTTCCATTTAAGGAAAATCTTTAGCATCTCATCCTTGCTCTTCATAGTAAACACCCAAACTCTTCTGGAAAAATCATCAATAAAAGTGACAAAATAATACCTGCCACCAAGGGATGGAGTCTTGGCAGGTCCCCACACATCTGAGTGCACATAATCCAAAATACCCTTAGTATTATGGATACCAGTGCCAAATTTCACTTTTCTTTGTTTTTCCAGAACACAATGCTCACAAAATTCTAATTTGCAAACTTTCGTACCTTTCAATAATCCTTGTTTGGCAAGATTTTGCAAGGATTTTTCACCAGCATCTCCCAATCGCATGTGCCACAACTTTGTTGCATCTGCATCTTTCTTGCTACTGGAAGATGTTGCTACTGCTGCTGTCCCAACAACTGTACTACCTTGGTAGTAATACAGATTATTGTTCCTCACACCTTTCAACATCAAAAGTGCTCCTGAAGTTACTTTAAGAATTCCATCTCGCATTCTCACTTCCAAGCCTTTTGACTCCAAGAGTCCCAAGGAGATGAGATTTCTCTTCAAATTCGGCACGTACCGAACATCCTTCAGGATTCTGGTGGATCCATCATGATTACGCAGCTTGATTGATCCTATCCCAACTGTTTTACATGGATTGTCATTTTCCATGTACACAAATCCACCATAAAGTTCTTCAAATTCAAAGAACCACTCCCGCATGGGAGTCATATGGTAGGTACAAGTTGAATCCAAAATCCACTCATCTGGATGGGATGTTAAACGTGATACAGCCAAAGAGAAATCTGATTCCGCATCACTTTTGCATTCTGCAACATTTAC